TCAAAGATAGGATCATAATTTCTTGTCTCTTTTGACTCACTTTTTTTTTTGCTCTCTCTTAAGGGTAGCTATATAAGCTATAATTTTTTAAGTGAAATACTTCATTTGGTATGCAATGAATGAGTTACAGATACATTGCAAGATTGGGATCTATTCAGCCTGAGGAGTTACCTAAAATAACTGGAGTGGTTGATATATCTAGGTAATCTCTAGATCACACTGGCCTGAAGCAGCCCCCCAAAATCAGGGTGTGATAACTTGCCCTGACATACCCATAGTCCTGCTGGTGGACAGCACAATGAAGTTCTTGCCGAGCAAAGGAGTATTATACCACCAGGTAATCACTTTCACAAGACAATTATAGTACACATTGTTACCTATCATAAACTCTCAGCTTTGAAGCATGTTCCAGGTGCCAAAGGAGCAGGACTCACAATTTCAGATAAGGCCAGGAAAGGCAGGGAGGCCTGCTTAATACTACAAATGAACTCAGCTCCCAATCTCTCTTCATATGTATAGAATTCTTCCTTTTGTTTATATCTGATATGCCCTTTTAGTTATGTTCAAGTTAGGTTCAAAATTATTGCTCTAATAACACAATCATACTCTGCAAATTAGACCTTTATCAATATTTTGCAATATATGCTTGACATGAAAAGTGTCTGGATAGATTCTAAATCTAGTCACATTATCACAGAATATTTCCTCATCACATTTGCCAGTTGGGAAATTGGGATCTACAGACAAAGCCAATTGATAAATGTAATGAGGAAGTATCCTGTGATAATGTGGATATATTATCAATTATAATTTATACTCATAAATTTTGAATTGTTATGAAAATTGTTTACATTTTTTATCACCTACTCGAACTGTGAACTAAGTTCTCATCAGTAATGACCACCAAGAATTTGAAGAGATCACTGTTAAACTGTCTCATTCAAGAACTGCATGCAGTCATTTCAATAATAAAATCCTCTATAAAAAAAGTCATGTTTACAGAAGCAATCTCAGGTTTTACATTAAATTTTGAGACAACTTTATTGGGAAACTTATGCAAATTCTATATTTAGTGTCATCCTTAATATGTCTATTTTAGTTTTCTCATTAAAAGTAAGTAATATAAAGAAAACAATTTTTTTCACCAAGCCCCATGTAGTTAGTTGCCTCCAAATCCCCTCTAATTTATCCCACTGCGCTGTACAAATATTATTTCTATGGATGTCATGATGTGAAGAAAAAGGTTGAGGGCCACTGCTTTAACATTTAGATAAGAATTCTTAACCTGGGGTTCCTCGATAGGTGTTAGTAGGAATGAGAAATATGCAAGTACATCTTTCTGGAGAGAAGGTCAATAGTTTTCATCGGGTTCTCAAAGCTTAAGAACCAGATAATCTCAGAGATTTCAAGCTCCGCTATAATTTCACCCTGGAAAAAGTATTGATACAAGTTAAGGGTTAAATGGACTCCAGTGGTACAACCAGAACTCCAGTATCATAGGTGGGAAGAGTGAAAGTGCTGTAAATAGAACTAGGAGGACTTTTGTCTCTTTGGCTCCCTCTTTTGGGACTCCTGCTCTTGGCCTCTCTCTCCACAAACTCAGCTAGAATAGTAAGAGGATTCTAGGATCTTCACTCTATTACAAGGTATCTCCTATCTCAGGTCACCAGAAGACCTAGCAGGAACCAGGGTGAAACCTAGGGAAGAATAGGTATAAGTGGGGCACAGAGCATAGATTTCATCAAATGCTCACTGTGGTCCAGCTCCGTTCACAAAGTGACTGTATTGGGATCTGCAGACAAAGCCTGAAAGCCAAAATCATAAAGAGGGCATTTGCCCAGACCTTCCCTTCTTTGTTTCTACAGAACTTTGTACATATATAAACTTCTCTTGTATTTCTACATATCTCCTTTGGCTCCTAGTAGAGGTAACAGAAGCCATGGTACCCCTAAACTATGCTCTAATTATTTGTTGATGTGTTTTTCCCTGCTAATTGGATTTGAGCCTCTAAGAGGTAGATAAACATTTGTCTTGTTCTTAAAGCAGTGTAGTATATGATACACGTTCAATAAATATTTTCTCAATTATTAGTAAATAAATTAATGAACATGCACCAATAGTTTCCAAATCTTCATTTCCTTAAAAGGTACCAAGAAGATATATTTTCCCTGAAAATTAATAAATTAACTTCCTGATGCAAACCATGTGAATTTGTAACTTCCTGATACAAACCATGTGAATTCAATTTTGATCAGAAATTTATCTCCTTAGATGTGTGGAACAAAAATGTTCTACACTTACCTACAGATGAAACATGTCTTGATCACTAATCTTCTCCTACAATTTTTTTTTTTTTTTTTTTTAGATGGAGTCTAGCTCTGTTGCCAGGCTGGAGGGCAGTGGAGTGATCTTGGCTCACTGCAACCTCCGCCTCCTGGGTTCAAGGGATTCTCCTGCCTCAGCCTCCCGAGTAGCTGGGATTACAGATGTGCAACACCACGCCTGGCTAATTTTTGTATTTTTAGTAGAGACGGGGTTTACCATGTTGTCTAGGATGGTCTCCATCTCTTGGTCTTGTGATCCACCCACCTCGGCCTCCCAAAGTGCTGGAATTACAGATGTGAGCCACCATGTCTGACCTACTTCTTTTATTTCACTGGCCATCATTCTTTGTCTTAATAGTAAGCGAAGTAGGCCGGGCTTAGTGGCTCACAGCAGTAATCCCAGCACTTTGGGAGGCGGAGGCGGGTGGATCACCTGAGGTAGGAGTTCAAGACCAGCCTGACCAAAATGGAGAAACCCTGTCTCTACTAAAAATACAAACGTGGTGGTGTATGTCTACTCGGGAGTCTGAGGCAAGAAAATCACTTGAACTTGGAGGTGAAGGTTGTGGTGAGCAGAGATCACGCTATCGCACTCCAGCCTGGGCAAGAAGAGCGAACTTCCGTCTCAAAAAAATACTTAGCTGGGCGTGGTGGTTCACGTCTGTAATCCCAGCTACTTGGGAGGCTGAGACAGGAGAATCGCTTTAACCCGGGAGGCGGAGGTTGCAGTAAGCCGAGATCGCGCCATTGCACTCCAGCTTGGGTAAGAAGAGCGAAACTCCGCCTCAAAAAAAAAGTTATCTTAATTACATAGAAGGCTTTACAGTTTATACTGCACTTTACCATACATTATCTCAAGAATCCTGTGAGTTAGGGTTCCATTGTAGAGATAAAGGAATTAAAGCTCAAAAAGTTCAAGCCATTTGCATACGGTTTTAGAGCTGGGACTAGAAACCAGGTCTTCTGATTCCCACGGTAGTGCTCTTTCTCACTACAAGGTTAATGGGCTTAAGCCTTTCATCTTCCAAAAGAATTTCTTAAGAGAATGTTACCATGAATAAGTAGATAATCAGTGCTGTCGTCCCTGAGTCAGTAAGAAAACCTACGGATTTGAATATTACGTTTTCTAGAATGATATTTTGGTTCATAAACCAAATATAGTTCATTTATTTGAGTTCATTCAGCTTCCAGCTCTGTGTATTTCTTGGCTATGTGTTTAGTTTCCTGTTTTGTCTCCCATGCATTGGTTCAAAGTTCTTACTTCTGAACCTTGCCTTCTCTTTTCCTGTTTACTACGGAGCTCTGGAAAAAACACAGTCAGATTGTTTAATCTGAACCATCCATCTTTGTTTAATTTTGTCTCACAGGCACCCCTGATCACCACCAGGGGGCGAAAGCCTACCAGCTGGCTTCTCTGCACTACACTCTATATAGGACTGTACAGTACAGGGACCCTCAGTGTCTGATTCTTGATGGAATCTCCCTGCTAATTATTTCAACCACAGGGCCCCAGGGAGAGAACAAAGGCTCAGCACAGAGGACTCTTGTGGCATTTAACCGTACAGCAGCCAGAAAGAGCTCATGACAGCCCTGTCAGTTTAAAAGGAGCAACGAGATCCAAGAGTGTTTGAGTGATAAACAGGAGGGGGTGGGTTTTAATAACTGCAAACTCCCGAGTGTGTGTGTTTTCTACAGCTTTAATATGTACGGTGGTATTTACCAGCTCATCCACTCAAACTGAGAAAGCTTTGTCAACCCTCTTTCTTTGTGTAAGTAATCAGTGGTATTTGCATTGTGCGATTTTTTTTTCCTTTTGAGTCTTGATTTTCCATTACATTCTTGGCTTATGTTCTGCTGACAGTTTACCTCTCAGAAAATCATTCCCTTAAAATATCTTTTAATCTAAATTTTTACATAGGTCTATGAAATAATGACATTAGACACGAAGGAGAAGAAAACTTAACGAGCAAATCCTGTTTAATTAAGAGACTGTCTTCACAGCAGGAGGCAAGTGGGAGGTCAATAGAAGGCTGGACCCTCACAACTCAGCGAGCCCGGCTTCCTCGGACTCCCAGGCGCACTCAGCTTCTCTTTCCTCAGGAATAATGAATGAGTCTTTAGACAGGCAATAGAAAGAAGAAGCATGAGGGTACCACCAACCTTTCCAGGATATCAAACGGAAAATGGTTTTCTTTCCAGAAGTCTCATCATAAAACATGGACGGAAGGGTGGTAAAGTTCAGAAAAAGCCCCCGATAACCGGGGCGAAGGGGGTAAACTGGTTTACCCCAGGCCTGTCCGCGCCCAGTGAGAGGGTTTGAAACCCCGCGGAGCCCGTTCCCACCAGTTTGCTTCAGGATTTTCACCTCAGCTGCTTTTTTCTAAGGTTGGTTAAGCTGTGCGCCGCCCCACCCCAGAAAATGGTTGTCTCTCAGGAGTGAGGACTCCAGCGGCCCCCGGCCCTGGGACCCCTCACCCGGCTGGCTCCCCTTGGCCCCTTCCTCCACCCCACTCCACAGCACCCCGCGCGGGCAAACCGCGCGTTTCCAGAGCGAAGGAGGTAACCCAGGAGGGGGCGGCGGCCCGAGGCGCACGCACTCCACCGGCTTCCGGCAACTCAAGGGTTACAACGAGGCGGCGGCGCGCGCTGAGGGGAGAGGCGGTAGCTGACAGGTGGCGCCTGCGCACTGGGAGCGCTCATTGTGCCCCGCAGCTGCCGAACCGCCCGCCCGCCCGCCGCCCGTTCCGCGCGTCAGTTGGCGAGAGTCTGGTGGTGGGTGCGGAGTCTGCAGCCGTTCCCGCGGCCTCCTCCTCCTCCCCGTTCCCTTCACCCCCACCCCGCACCCCTTTCCCCATCCCGGCTCCGTCACCCTCCCGCCCCCCACACTCAGGACAAGAATGCCCTGCCCGGAACAACCCAGCAGCGCCTAGATGGCTTTGGTCACAGTCCAGCGGTCACCTACCCCCAGCACCACCTCCAGCCCCTGCGCCTCGGTGAGTCCTTCCTGGCGGCCGCTCCGCTTGCTTCTGTCACTGCGGCTCCGCTTTGCCTCAGCGGGTCCCGCCGAACCCCACTGCGCACGCGCTGCGCCGCTTCCCAGGCCTTGGCACTCGGCTGCCGCGAATCCCCCACACCCCCATCTTAAAGACGAGCAGCAGAAACTACGAGACGTTGATTTTTGCCCCCATCACCCTGAGCACCTAGCTCCTCACAATCCTCGCCCTGAAATCCCCTGCGGCATGCCTCCCTATGGCTTGAGCACTTCCTTCTGGTAATGAGTCATTCTTGCTTTTCACCCTCCCCCTTCTTTTACCCTCTGTTGCTTTGCTGCAGGGAGGGGACCGGAGCCTCCTGCGTTGCCCCTTACCCACACCCACATCTCTTACCCATACCATTTCATGGACCCGTTCAGTATTTGCACACTGCACACCCTTCTTCGGACTCGCCAGGGTGTGCGCCTTCCCCTAGTCACTTGCTGGCTTTCTTGTGCTCCGTACTGTTCAGGCTTTGAACTGCCCAACCGTAGTTACTCCTTGGTTTCTCCCTCCTCCCCCTCACACCAAAGGGTGGCATTGATTTCTGTTTCTTGGATCTCTTACCTTTCCTCTGTGAGGTCCCGAAGCATCTGGTACTGCTTGGTGATCAATGCCAAAATATTTTCGTCTTACAGATATTTATGCTTTACATTCATTGCTCATGATCGTTCTTGTTCTTAGTCGTGTTTGTATGGCTCGTTACCTCAGATGCCTATGCCAATAAAGCATGCTCCCAGAAGGAAAATACATAGTAGCCAGCCTTTCCCCGCTGGGCCCGTCTTTGCCTTCTCTCCTCGCCCCACCCCCACTCTTTTACACTCCATTCTCTTAGGCTTCGTTTTTGAAAATATTTATTTTTAAAAACAATGTATTGCACCAGTGGGGCAAATGGGCTTTGACAAACAAACATCCAGATGTTTTAGCGAGAAATAGACTGAATGAAAATGCAAGCAACTGGGAAACCCACCTTGAACTTCCTACAGAACTGTAATTTTAAAAAATGTATTGATGGATTTAGTAGTATCAAGTTGCAAAAAAAGGTATTTAATAAACACTGTACCAGTTTCCACGTTAAAAAAAAATCAGTTTACTCTTAATATTTGTATGTTAACTGAGGTGTGAGCTTTGATATCCTGAAATTTGCTGGCTTGTGATTTCAGTATAGTTTCCTGAATTTCAGAATTTTGTTGTGTATGGTTGTGGTTTCTTCTTTTCTGCGCTTTTATTGCATTTTGTGTGAACAAACTGACAACTATATCTTAATTCAATAAGTGATTATATTTCAAAGGTTAAGATATCTTGTGTTGTTTCAGAGAATAGAACTGAGATCCTTGGTTGAGAGAGGCAGATTTCCAGCGATTGTAAGGAAGAATTTCTAACAGTGGAGTGCACTGCCTTGCAAAATAGTGAGTGCACATTGCTGGAAATATTCAAGCAAAGGCTGGAGAACATTTTGCCTGGGAAGCGGTATAAAGAATTCCTGCAGTGGGGGACTATTTCTAAGTCCAAGATTTTGTGCTTCAAAGCTGGTAAAACATTTTAGAGTCCTCCGAAGATAAGTATCATAGGGATAAGAATTTAATATAATTTAGTCTTATGTTTAGTACTTAATGCTAGTTTTTGGAAAGTCATTAACATACCATCAAATCTTCTTAAGTCACTCCACTAGTAAACTCTTTGGTTTGTGCTTACTAGGCCTAATTTTGAAGAAATCGATTGAAAGTAAAGTCATGGAAATAAACTAGAAATCAGTACTATAGTAACATTATTTTTCTTGGGCATTTCTGAAAACAGTTTATGCTTTGATAATAACATGTATATCAAGTTGTCATCATACTAATTTACTTGAAGTGAATGATTAGTATACAATAAGACGTTGTACACTTGATATGACTCATTAGCCAAAACTTGAGTTACTTTAGATCTTGAGGTATCTTAATAGTCACTTTTGACATAGGTAATTAAATTGATTGTGTAATAAGCTCAGTTGTTGAGCAAAATGACTAATATTTCTATATCAACTACACTGGTTATTTCAGTTGTTTCTACTTGGCCCCGTGCAAAGGAATCTGAAGGTTGGTGTACCAATCAACATCGTTAGCATAACTGATAAGCCATTTACCTTTCCCTTCAAATTGTCTTCCTATTGGACTTCATCCAGAGTTGTGTTCAGCTGAGTTGTCTTGAGGTCCTTGTACTCTAGTATTTGGCTGCTGTCCGACCTCCATATATTTTGCTGTTGCATCTCTCACTGCATAAATACGTTGGGTTGTTTGTTTTAAAATAGAGAGCAAAAAGAACCTAGAGAACCATGAAAGAAGAGCTTTAATTTTGTGAGGCTGGAAATATACATTTTTAAATTAATCACTTTAAGCATACTGTTAATACATTTTCACTATAGGACACAGGGCATTTTAATACTGCCAGCTCTTTAGTGTTGTTTCATTAGGCATTAAACAATATGCTAGGTATGAGTGACCATTGTAGATACTAAGATGTATAAGAAATTGACCTGTTCATCAGGATCATGCAATCTGGGGGGCTGAAGCATTGGAGGAAGCACAAACATGAGGTAAGAGGGTGGAAAAGAAGAATGAGGGGAATGATACTGTAGGTATGTGAAGAGTTTGTGATGGCCATAAGTATTATCTGAATTCAGATTAAGATAAGTTCCCTAATGGCAATGTTAATAATAAGAGTAATAACAATATCTAACATTTCTTGGGTCCTCATCTATGCCAGGCATCATGTTAAGTGCTTTACATGAATTAATTCATTTGCTTTTTTCACAATATGCCTCAAGGAAGTTGCTCTTATCCCCATCTTATAGATGAAGAAGCTGAGGCAAAGAGTTATTAAGGAATATGCCCAGTGTCACTCAGCCAGTAGGTGATTGGAGTTGTAATTCAAACCCAGATGTGTCTAACTAGAATCTGCCATCTTTTTCTCATGGGTGATCAAGGAAAAGTATGCCTACTAGGTGGTTCTCAAACTAGTTCTTGAAGAATGGGTTGAATTTCAATAGGCCAAGATAGAAGCTGTGAAGAAGAGAGTATTGCAGGTCAGGAGAAATTGTGTACTTCAAAACTTAGAGGCAAAAGAGTACAGGGCATATCTGAAGGAATTAAATGGACCAGTTTGAGGAAGGATTTGCTAGGGAGAATAGTAAGAGATAAAGGTGAGGAGGCAGCTAGGGCTGCACAGAGACTACCGAGCTTGGGAGTTTGGAGTTTGAACTTGATGGAGAAGGTAATGGAGAGTCTGCTGAGGTTTTGAGTAGATGTGATCACAGTGGCATTTTAAGAATTTTTTTTATTATTTTTTATTTTAGATAGGGTCTCACTCTGTCACTTAGGCTGGAGTGCAGTAGCACAATCTTGGCTCACTGTAGCCTCTGTCTTTCAGGCTCAAGTGATCCTCCCCCCTCAGCCTCCCCAGTATCCGGGACTATAGGCATCAAGCCTGGTAATTTTTGTATTTTTTGGTAGAGATGGGGTTTTACCATGTTGCCCAGGCTAGTCTCAAATTCCTGGCCTTCTAAAGTGCTGGGACTACAGGGATGAGCCATCACACTTGGCCTATTTTAAGAAAATTGATCTAGTAGATATCAGAGATATCAGGGAGCTTTGAAAAAGAGAGGCTGTGAGTGGAGCCAGTGAGAGGTTGTTCTAGAAGCCCAAGTGTGAGGTAATAAATGCCCAAACTGGGATTTTGAAGTGGTAATGGAAAGAAAGAGACAGATGTGAGGGGTTGTGGAAAAGACTTGGGCACTGATTAGATTTAGGAGGTGAGGGATCAGAGATGTCAACTCTTAGGATAGATATTGTTCTTCCGGTGTTTTCTGATTAATAGAGGGCAATGTAAGAATCATCTCTGTCTCTTTCTATTCTTTCTGGTATGAATTTTCTTTTTTAAAACTTCTTTTTTATTTAAAAAATTGTATCGTTAATGGACAACACATATTTATGGTATACAACCTGATGCTTTGATACATGTGTACTACATTATGAAATAATTAAGTCAGGCTAATTAACATATCACTTCACCTAGTTAGCTTTTTTTGTGGTGAAAGCATTTAAAATCTACTCTTAGTAGTTTTCTTCCTTTTTCCTTTCCTTTCCTTCTCTTTCCCTTTTCCCTTCCCTTCCCCTTCCCTCTATCCTTTCCCCTTCCCTTCCCCTTCCCTCTATCCTTTCCCCTTCCCTTCCCCTTCCCTCTATCCTTTCCCCTTCCCTCTATCCTTTCCCCTTCCCTTCCCCTTCCCTCTATCCTTTCCCCTTCCCTTCCCCCTTCCCTTCCCTTCTCTTCCCTTCTCTTCCCTTCTACCGAGTCTCTCTCTGTTGCCAGGCTGGAGTGCAGTGGTGCCATCTTGGCTCACTGCAATCGCTGCCTCTTGGGTTTAAAGGATTCTACTGCCTCAGCCTCCCAAGTAGCTGGGACTACAGGCACGTGCCATCACGCCCAGCTAATTTTTGTACTTTTTAGTAGAGACGAGGTTTCACCATGTTGGCCAGGATGGTCATGATCTCTTGACCTCGTGATCTGCCTGCCTCAGCTTCCCAAAGTGCTGGGATTACAGGCATGAGCCACCGTGCCTGGCCCTTTCTTTTTTAAGATGGGGGTCTCACTATAGCACAGGCCGGAGTGAGTGGCACAATCATAGTTCACTGCAGCCTCAAGTGATCCTCCTACCTCAGCCTCCTGAGTAGCTGGGACTAGCCAGCTAATTTTAATTTTTTTTCTTTGTAGAGATGAGGACTTACTTGGGGACTTGCTGCCCAGGCTGGCCTTGAACCCCTGGCTTCAAGGGATCCTCTTGTTTCGGCCTCCTAAAGAATTGGGATTATAGGCAAGAGCCACCGTGACCGTCCACAAAGTGTACAATACATTATTATTGACTATAGAAACCATATTGTACGACAACTCTTCATTACTTACTCCTCCTGTCTAATGGAAAC